AGCTTCGGCCCTCTCTCCTTTTTCGACCTTTGTCTGATCTGTCCAGATTGGCGTTTTTTCTTCTTCCTTCACTTATCGCAACAATACCTATTTGGTTTCAAAATGCAAACCATTCTGACAGAATTCCTCGACAGGCTGCCGCCTGCGGCACTGACTGTGCTGGCGGGCATTGGAGCTCCTGTTTGTTGCGACCAAGGCCCTGTCTTACTTCCAGTTCCTCCTGAGCGTCTTCGTTCTCAGCGGCACCAGTGTTAGTTGGCCCTCGTCCACCTAGTCGCAACTCTTGACCCTGTGCTGACCCCATAATCCATAGCTTCGCAAGTATGGCAAGCCCGGTAGCTGGGCCGTTGTCACCGGTGCCTCCGACGGCCTAGGCAAGGAGTTCGCTCTCCAGCTTGCCAGCAAGGGCTTCAACGTCGTCCTCGTCTCCCGAACCAAGTCCAAGCTTGAGGCCTTCGCCGCCGAGCTTGAGCAGAAGTATCCCAAGGTCCAGTCTAAAATTCTGGCCATGGACTTTGCCCGTGACGATAACGCCGATTACGACGCCCTCGCCGCGACCGTTGCTGGTCTCGACGTCGCCATCCTCATCAACAACGTCGGCCAGAGCCACAGCATCCCCGTCTCCTTTGTCGACACGACCCGTGAGGAGCTGCAGAGCATCGTCACCATCAACTGCCTGGGCACCCTGAAAACGACATCCATCATCGCGCCTATCATGGTGCAGCGTAAGAAGGGCCTTATCCTGACCATGGGTTCCTTTGCCGGCTGGATCCCCACTCCCTACCTCGCCACCTACTCCGGCAGCAAGGCCTTCCTCCAGCACTGGAACAGCTCCCTCGCCGAGGAGCTCAAGCCGTCCGGCGTCGATACACAGCTCGTCCTCAGCTACCTCATCACGACTGCCATGAGCAAGGTCCGTCGCGCCAGCGCCCTGATCCCCACGCCCAAGAACTTCGTCAAGGCCACGCTTGGCAAGATCGGGTCAGGAAGCTACCAAAACTGGGCATACACCTACACCCCCTGGTGGACGCACTCAATCATGGTCTGGGCTCTCGAGAGCACTCTCGGTACCGGAAACGCCCTGGGCATCTGGTACAACGGAAAGATGCACAAGGACATTCGCAGGCGGGCCGCTTCGCAAGCCGAGCGCGAGGCCAAGAAGGCTTAAGATCTGCGCCTCGCCGATTTAATGTTCTGCTCAAGTATTTGAAAGCCAAAGGCTGGGACTGGATGGAACTATGAGGCCGCGATGTACAGCTTGTCAGGCGACTGATGCTGAAGAGAAGAAACCAGAGTAATCAGAGGACGAATATGGACAGGCCCGTGATCATGTCGCAGGCTTCATACAAAGCGGCCGGATGCGTTGTTAGAGAGAAACCATGATGAATAAAAGAGCGTGGAAATGTACGCCTTGGGGTTCTTTTAATTTACCATGCATCGTTATCATTTTCGTCGACATGTGACAAAAAGTCGGGGAGAGTCATGCTCAGTCACGAAGCTCGTCTAGTGGGCCCAAGCTCTCCTCAGCCTTGCCCCCGAAACGGGCTTAGCGCGAGGTACCACCCAGAGCAGCTTTCCAGCTCCAGTCGTTCCCTGTCGCGAAAATTCCCACGCGCTGCCCGGGAACAGGTGCAGCCTTTCGACCTCCGACGTTCAAGCACCGACAATTGCCAGCTGCATCTCGCTGCTGCTTCGATAACTCACCCTGTCATCTTGCTCCATCAAAGGGCCATCCATCAACCCGTGGGAGGAGACCCCAGTGCCTTCGCCAACCCAGCTCTCTCGACGGCAATTGCTCCACCATCTTCTTTTCTTGGTTGTTGATGGTGGTTGCATACCGCGACAACAAGCCTTCGCTGGCCACGCGCTGCCTCGATCGGTGAAACCATATCGACCTTCGACCACCTCTCATCCACGACCTCTCCAGCTCGAAAAATGTCGTACCCAGCAATCACACCGGCGCGTCCTGTGCCTGGCGCGTTTCTCAACACCCCCGCCGCCTCCAGGTTCCAATCCAACGATGACCCTGTCAGAAGGCGTCTCTTCGATGGGAACGCAAATCCTGCGCCCAGCAGCAGTCTCGTCCCCAGGCCAAATCAGTCCTCCGTCACGACATCATCAACCTCTGGCATGAGCGGCGGCTTGGTTCCTGCCTCGCATGTTCAGCAGCAGGCACCCGATGTGCCCCCTGTCACCAAGGCGGCCCAAGCCGTCAACGAGTTTCTTCAGCGGGATCAAAACTATCCTGATCTAGAGTCTTATGCCAAATGTGAGATATCTCCAGCCCTTGCATCATCCACGCCGCCTTGAGCTTCACTGATCATTTTGCTCTAGCCGGCTCGTCCTCTGAGTATGACCTTGTCAGCATTGATTCTGCTTGGGCACCCTTCCACAAGACCCAGATGTACCCAATCCCGAATGAGATCTTCAACCACTACAACGCCAGTCAGCTGCAAACCCTCATGGGACTGTTCGCCGAGATCAATCACGCGTGGGTCGCTATCGACAACTCACTGTTTCTCTGGGACTACACCCAGCCTGAGCCCGAGCTCATCGGTTTCGAAGATGTCAAATATACGATTCACGCTGTCGCACTCGTGCCGCCGAAGCCTGGCATTTTCGTAGCCGACATTACCCACATGCTCGTTGTCGCGACCTCTCAGGAGATCAACCTTCTGGGTCTCTCCGCCAAGCCCAATGCATCTGGTACCAAGAGCGTCTCACTTTACCAGACCAAATTGGACCTGCCCCTACGA